ACTACTAAAAAAACTACAAAAAATCTACATGAACTAATAAATGAACCTAAAAAGATTACACAGTATAAGGTAGGTATACCAATTGAATTTTTATATACTAGTAAAAAAAATGAAAAAGGGGTTTAAAATATTTACTATGCTAAAAAATTAATATACTTAGAAAGTTCAGTTCAGTTCAGTCGCTCAGTCGTGTCCGACTCTTTGAGACCCCACGAATCACAGCACACCAGGCCTCCCTGTCCATCACCAACTCTCAGAGTTTACTCAAACTCATACCCATCGTGTCGGTGATGCCATCCAGCCATCTCATCCTCTGTCACCCCCTTCTCCTCCTGCCCCCAATCCCTCCCAGCATCAGGGTCATTTCCAATGAGTCAACTCTTCGCATGAGGTGGCCAAAGTACTGGAGTTTCAGCTTCAGCATCAGTCCTTCCAATGAACACTCAGGACTGATCTCCATTAGGATGGACTGGTTGGGTCTCCTTGCAGTCCAAGGGACTCTCAAGAGTCTTCTCCAACACCACAGTTCAAAAGCATCAATTTTTCGGTGCTCAGCTTTCTTCACAGTCCAAATCTCACATCTATACATGACCACTGGAAAAACCATAGCCTTGACCAGACGGACCTTTGTTGGCAAAGTAATGTCTCTGCTTTTTAATATGCTATCTAGGTTGGTCATAACTTTCCTTCCAAGGAGTAAGCGTCTTTTAATTTCATGGCTGCAGTCACCATCTGCAGTGATTTTGGAGCCCCCAAAATGAAGTCTGACACTGTTTCCACTGTCTTCCCATCTATTTCCCATGAAGTGATGGGACCAGATGCCATGATCTTAGTTTTCTTTTCTTTTCTTTTTTTTAGTTTTCTGAATGTTAAGCTTTAAGTCAACTTTTTCACTCTCCTCTTTCACTTTCATCAAGCGGCTTTTCAGTTCCTCTCCACTCTCTGCCATAAAGGTGGTGTCATCTGCATATCTGAGGTTATTGATATTTCTCCCGGCAATCTTGATTCCAGCTTGTGCTTCTTCCAGCCCAGTGTTTCTCATGATGTACTCTGCATGTAAATTAAATAAGCAGGGTGACAATATACAGCCTTGACGTACTCCTTTTCCTATTTGGAACCAGTCTGTTGGTCCATGTCCAGTTCTAACTGTTGCTTCTTGACCTGCATACAGGTTTCTCAAGAGGCAAGTCAGGTGGTCTGGTATTCCCATCTCTTTCAGAATTTTCCACAGTTTATTGTGATCCACACAGTCACATTGGCGTAGTCAATAAAGCAGAAATAGATGTTTTTCTGGAACTCTCTTGCTTTTTCGATGATCCAGCGGATATTGGCAACTTGATCTCTGGTCCCTCAGCCTTTTCTAAAACCAGCTTGAACATCTTGAAGTTCTCGGTTCACATATTGCTGAAGCCTGGTTTGGAGAATTTTGAGCATTAATTACTTTACTAGCGTGTGAGATGAGTGCAATTGTGCAGTAGTTTGAGCATTCTTTGGGATTGCCTTTCTTAGGGATTGGAATGAAAACTGACCTTTTCCAGTCCTTTGGCCACTGCTGAGTTTTCCAAATTTGCTGGCATTTTGGGTGCAGCACTTTCACAGCATCATCTTTCAGGATTTGAAATAGCTCAACTGGAATTCCATCACATCCACTAGCTTTGTTGGCAGTGATGCTTTCTAAGGCACACTTGACTTCACATTCCAGGATGTCTGGCTCTAGGCCAGTGATCACACCATTGTGATTATCTGGGTCATGAAGATCTTTTTTGTATAGTTCTTCTGTGTATTCTTGCCACCTCTTCTTAATATCTTCTGCTTCTGTTAGGTCCATACCATTTCGGTCCTTTATCAAACCCATCTTTTCCTGAAATGTTCTCTTGATATCTCTAATTTTCTTTACTTAGAAAGTAAATCCATGTATATCTATAAGATACTTCTGAGAGACATTAAATAAGATAATAAGTAAGAGATAAACCATGTTCACAGATTGGAAGATTCCATATTGTTAATACATCTATTTCCCCCAAATTGATCTATAGACTCTCCATAACGCAATTCTGATCCCAGAAGCATTCTTTTTTTTGATAAATGGACAAGTGATTCTAAAATTAGTATCTCAATGCAAAGAACCTATAACAGCCAAAATAATTTGGAAAAGAGGGAAAATGCTGGATAACTTAACCTAATTTCCATAACTGATATAAAGCTTCAGAAATCAGCTCAGTATGGTATGCACTCTATTACAGAAAAACAGATCAATGCACAAAAATAGAGCCACATAAAACTGTCACTTTGTTCTCTGACAGAGGTGCCAAGTTAGTCCATCTAGTGCAAGGACAGTCTTTTCACTAAAAATGCTGAGACAACTGGATAACTATAAGGGAAGAAAATGAACCTCTATTCATACTTCCCAACAAACAGGTCTATGAATCATAGATATAAATGTAACAATAAAACTATTAGCTTTCGAAGAAAATATAGATGATTTTTTTTGTAATCTTGGATTAGGCAAAGATTTCTCAGAAAACACTAGCCATAAAAAAAAAAAAGATATTTGATTCCAAAACTTTAAAAACTTCTGTTCATCAAAATACACCTTTAAGGAAATGCATAGAAAAGCCCCAGACTAGGAGAATGAACAGCAGTCAGCTGCACTTTTATATAATAATGCATATGAGAAGTACAATGAAGATAATATTCTATTTTAGAGTACAATACATAAAAATTTGAATTCTAGGCATAAACTACTAATGATATAAAAGGACAAATAATTGGAAAGCTATCCTTGATTGTATAGACTATAATAAAGATGACAACACTTCCTAATTTAGTAGATATTTTAATGTAAGACAAATTAATTTTTCTTTTTTCTTCCAAGGAGCAAGCATCTTTTAATTTCATGGCTGCAGTCACCATCTGCAGTGATTTTGGAGTAAAAACAAAATAAAGTCTCTCACTGTTTCCACTGTTTCCCCATCTATTTGCCTTGAAGTAATGGGACCAGATGCCATGATCTTAGTTTTCTGAAGGTTGAGTTTTAAGCCAACTTTTTCACTCTCCTCTTTCACTTTCATCAAGAGGCTCTTTAGTTCTTCTTCGCTTTCTGCCATAAAGGTGGTGTCACCTGCATATCTGAGCTTATTGATATTTCTTCCAGCAATCTTGATTCCAGTTTGTGCTTCATCCAGCCCAGCGTTTCTCTTGATGTACTCTGCATGTAAGTTAAATAAGCAGGGTGTTAAATAAGATTTTTAAACAGTATTTATAAGCCACGGAAGCATGCCTTTACTTTTAGTCTATTGACTATTCTTAATAGTGCGTTTTCATCAGATTGGATTGGGCCAATCAGGAATTCTATAATTGGTCTTTGGTTTGTTACTGGCTATTCAAACTCACTTTCAAAAAAAGGTTAAGAATACCGGATAAAAATTAGACCATGAGCAGCTCCAAATAACATCACAAGAAACATAGTCTTAGAAAATATCCTTGAAGACGTGCGCTTCATACCCCTATTATTGTTGAAACTGCACTTTGTCACACAGGGTAGCCTAGCAGATACAATGCTTCAGTGGCTTTTCAGTTTACTGAGGGCTCTGAACTGGAAACAGATGTATAGGAAATGTGACCAGAAAAGTCAAAAGAAAACCCTATACAAATGACAAGATTAACCATGGCTAAGCAATCACGACTGACATTCCAGAAGGCCATAAAACCCATGACGCCCGCAATCACGAAGCAATAGCAAAAGTTACCCACAAAGAACACAGGGGAAGAGGAATTAACAATAAGGAAACAGTGAACACAGCTGTTGATGCAGCAATCATATTTCGAACAGTGTTTTCTAATATTGCAGAATACTGATCAATGACCCAGAGGGATGGGATGGGGAGGGAGGTGGGAGGGGGGTTCAGGATGGGGAACACTTGTAAATCCATGGCTGATTCATTTCAGTGTATGGCAAAAACCACTACAATATTGTAAAGTAATTAGCCTCCAACTAATAAAAATAAATGGAAAAAAAAATACATGAATGCCTGGTTGTATACCATTAGGGGAACTTCACACTTTTCCGTCATGTCTCAGAATTGGAGTAACATCAGCTTTTTATTGGTTGAAGAAGACATACCTGTGGTTTGAATGAAGTCCTGGGAGCAAATGACTTCCTGTGATGATGTAATATTAATATCATACACAAAAAGTGGAAGTTCAATTAAAAAGTGGGAATATTGCTTAGAAAAGCTGTCTTTTTAAAATCTTGATAGAGTTTTCCCATACATTTTATATATTCTTGTAACCAAAACTCTAAGTTTTTCATCTATGTACTTAGCATTTTCAAAATCTGCCAGACATTTTTCCAGTTTTTGCCTAGTATCTTTATCCCAGTAGTCAAGAGTCTGTACAAAGTGCAGAATTATTATAGAACAAGGAGTGATGAGTTGTCTTAAGGACCCAGAGGCAACCAGAGAAGGCATCAGAGAAAGCAGCATTCAAACACAGACTCCGCAAGATCAATGAGACCTTGAGAGACGGGCAAGGTCCATCTCTGGGATAACCATAACCCTGGGACCATAACTTGGAAACTGTTCTTCTACATTAAAATATGGTGTGATGTAAGAGTCATCACTTGCCAAATTTCAGAGATTTAAACCTTCCTGCACTCAGAAACACCCATATATACTACTTATGATGTACAAAATGTATAGGAGCACTATAAAAATCTTGCACTGGGTGTTTGTGAGAAAAGGATCAAAGTAGTCTCTAAAGAATAGATTCACTGGATGGATATCAGCTTTATGTTCATGTTGAAGAGAATTACATGGGAGGCAGCAGGACTATTTAATGAGGAAGACTTTTGGGCAGTTGTTTCCAGCTTCTTCAACCAGGTTAGACAGACTACTTCTCTTTTCCCATCCAGGGCCATAAATGCTCCAAAACAGGTGATGTTATAAAAATAACAATAGAGCAGGGTTGTTCCTATATAAATGCAAAAGTATTGTACAGACCTGAAAGAGGTCACAGTTCCTGTATTGGAGGCCAGGACATTGATGATGGTGGTGATTGTAATGGGTACTGCCACTTTTGCATAGACATCAGACATCTGCTTGCTTATGCTATCCATGAGGCTGGTCTTCTGCCAGGCAGAAATCACGGTAAGCATGTCATCAACCTCAACACCTGTTAGAGAAAGAAACAGAGTATTCATACTTTTTTTTTAACATCTATTAAAAATTAACCAGATCAACTCAAACCATTTTCTTTGCCCATTTCTCAAGGTCTCATGGATATTGTGGAGTCTGTTTTTTTTTTTTTTTCGAGTCTGTGTTTGAATACAGCTTTCTTTGACACCTTCTCTGGTTGCCTCTGAGTCCACAAGACAACTCATCACTCCTTGCTCTGTGATAACTCTGCGCTTTGTACACACTCCTATTTGTACACATAGCGCAGTACATTCTACTCCTAGTCATCATTCAGGGTGTTCAATGAAGAGTCAGGAAACCTGGCTGACTGGGTATTAGGTGAAGCAGGATTAGCAATGTATCTCTGATTCCATCAGAACATTTGAGAGACCATTTTCTCTTATAAACCATTTTACTCTAAGGCACTAATATTGAGGTAACATCTTGTTTAAAATATGAGCTGGATTTGTCTGTTCTCCAGTTAGCATCTAGCTATAAATGTGGAATGATTTTAAAGGCACCCCATAGTTTATACACACACAGATATATACATACATGTAGTTTTCCTGTTAGTCTGTTTCTGATACCTAGAATGCTATTATTCAAACCTCATTTGCCCAGGTTAAAGCATTATGTCAATACAATGTAGGCACTCTTGAGATCAGAAATATGTACCAAAGTAAACCTTAAGATCCTTTTACATATTAAGTGAATATAAAGCAACCAGTCTCTCCCACAGTGATATTTCCTGATTGATTTGTAGTAAAGAGGACTGAAGAACATTTGAGGACTCTGAAATTGTCACCGAAGGTTAGGAGAGGAGGACTACAGAGAAGAAAGGGGATTACAAAGGACAGCCTAAGCATGTTGCAGATAAATTTCACTTCCCTCAAGCTTCCTGCCTCTTTCACTCCTATACACCTCTGTTTCTGTGTGTATTGATACAAAACCAATACTTGGAACTGAAAAGTGAAAAGAAAGTGAAGTCGTTCAGTCGTGTCCAACTCTTTGTGACCCCATGGACTATAGCCTGCACCAGGCTTTTCTGTCCATGGGATTTTCCAGTACCAAAGTGGGTCGCCATTTCCTTCTCCAGGAGATCTTCCTGACCCAGGGATCGAACCCAGGTCTCCCGCACTGCAGGCAGACACTTTAACCTCTGAGCTACCAGGGAAGCTTGGAACTGAAATGCTGATTGATTTTAATATCAACCTTGGGAGATCTTCTCCATGGATTACATGGGAAGATACTGGGAATTGCACTTTGCCTCTAATTCCGATGTTCTGTGTGTATGATCTGGGAGAAGGGCCGACAGTGACACAGGCTTATGTAGTCTGTCACAAACTGCATCCTCACCCGCCCCCTGCTGCCAGTTTTGTAGATTTCACTTTCATTCAGCTGGACGAAGGGCAAGAATCCAAACTACTAAGGACCACAAATAAACTGATTGATATGGAACAGGTATTTAAAAACCAGTTTTATTATTTATGGAACTTGGTTGAGAAATTGTCCTCACACATTTCTTGAGCTACTGAAATCACAGCCCCCCCCCAAACACATGCACCCCTACACTCACATGTCTATGTATATACAGACAATATGAAGATGGTTGATATGAAGTCAGTTGTCTACACTTGAGTTGTTTATGGCTGTGGGAACATTAAATAAGTGTGAGTGTGTACTAGGAAGGTATAGATCCTGTGTACAGTTCCTTCCCTATATCCCCTAGGAAACCAATTATTAATTCTTTCGATCTGTTAACTTTCCAAAATATAATCATATTTACCTTCTTACACTTATTGTAAAATAAACCCTGAAAGTACAAGAAAATACAAAGAAAAATTTTAAACAACTGCAATTCCACCTGTCAGGGATAATCCTTGCTAATATTGTAAGTGTTATCTATCCAGAATTTGCTATACAAATATACATGCATATTTGTATATTGCTCAATTTTAAACATCTTGTTTCATAACCAGCATTTTTCATTTAACACTTTATATCTACCTTTTTAAAAAGACTGAATAGGATTCCAAAACTTTAATTGTGCTCTGAGCAGACCAATCCCATGTCGCAATAGGATTAGCTTGTTTTTGAACACCAAGAACCACCAAACTATTTTTCACAACTATTATACACCATTTTATATCCCACTAGCAATGTATAAGTTTTTATGTTTATAGTTGTTATATATTTTTGATTAATTGGCCCTTTTACAAATATATAATGTCGTTCTCTCTCTTTTAACAGTTTTTTAAATAGTCCGTGTTGTCTGTTACCAGTACAGGCACTCCTAGTCTCTTTTGGTTACTATTCATATGGAGTGTCTTTTTTAGTCCTCTTAACTTTCAATCTATTTATGTCTTTGGATCTAAAGTGAATCTCTTGTAAATAGCATATAGTTGAATCATACTGTTTTATCCATTCTAACAATATCTGCCTTTTGATTGGAAAGTTTAATCTGTTTAGATTTAAAATAATTGCTGACAAGAAAGGACTAAATTGTTTTGGTATTTATATTCTGTATATATTATAGCCTATTATCTTCATTTCATCCATTTATGCCTTTTTTGTGGCCAAACCCAGGCCCCAGCAGTGAAAGCACTGAGCTGTCCAAACCATTGGACCACCAGGGAACTCCTGATTTACGCTTTCTTTAATGTGTAGTTAGTGAGCTGTTTTAACTGGTCATTTTGCTGCCGGGGATGCCCAAGTCAGCCTGAGCCCTGGAATCACATGAAGGCATTTTTAGACACGTGGATTCTGCAACTTCTCTACAAACTGTAGATCAGAGTCCGCAGAGCTGTGTTCCAGGACTGCAGGAATCTGAAGTTCTAAGACTCTCCTAAGTCATTTTGAAAAACTGCTTAACCAAAGTCCTTCCTGGGGACTAAAAAATCTCCAAGTGTATTCACTAGTGTTCTATAGTCACACCTCTCCTTCCATTGCCTATTGAATATGAAAATAAAGGTCATTTAGAGAGAGTCAACACAGCGACTAGTCAAAGTCAAATCACTCTACCCAATAATATACTTCACTGCCCCCATCCTCTGAAAAATTTATGCCACCAATCCAGAAACCTGAAAGAGGGAATAAGGCTAAACATGTCATATGTAGCTTTTATCTTGTTAATCTTTCTGATTTCAAGGTTCATCTTGTTACTTTTATCTTCAGTTCAGTTCAGTCACTCAGTCGTGTTCGACTCTCTGTGACCCCATGGACTGCAGCACGCCAGGCCTCCCTGTCCATCACCACTCCTGAAGTTTACTCAAACTCATGTCCATTGAGTTGGTGATGTCATCCAACCATCTCATCCCCTTCATCCCCTTCTTCTCCCACCTTCAATCTTTCCCAGCATCAGAGTCTTTTCAAGTGGGTCAGCTCTTCGAATCAGGTGGCCAAAGTATTAGAGTTTCAGCTTCAACATCAGTCCTTCCAGTGAACACTCAGGACTGACCTCCTTTAGGATGTACTGGTTGGATTCCCTTGCAGTCCAAGGGACTCTCAAGAGTCTTTTCCAACACCACAATTCAAAAGCGTCAGTTCTTCAGTGCTCAGCTTTCTTTTTAGTCCAACTCTTGCATCCATACATGACTACTGGAAAAAACATAGCCTGACTAGATGGACCTTTGTTGGCAAAGTCATGTCTCTGCTTTTTAATATGCTGTCTAGGTTGGTCATCGGAGAAGGCAATGGCAACCCACTCCAGTATTCTTGCCTGGAAAATCCTATGGACAGAGGAGCCTGGTAGGCTGCAGTCCATGGGACCACGAAGAGTCAGACATGACTGAACGACTTACTTTCACTTTTCACTTTCATGCATTGGAGAAAGAAATGGCAACCCACTCCAGTGTTCTTGCCTGGAGAATCCCAGGGACAGCAGAGCCTAGTGGGCTGCTGTCTATGGGGTCGCACAGAGTCGGACATGACTGACACGACTTAGCAGCAGCAGCAGCAGTTTGATCGTAACTTTGCTGCCAAGGAGTAAGCATCTTTTATCTTAAACTCCTGTAAATCAATATTGTTACTTTAAGAAAGTATTGGTTGTAATCAAATTTTGTTGTAATAAAGAAATTTACTTTTATTTTGGTGCATGTGTGTGTGTGTGTGTGTGTGTGTTGATTTGGGGCCCTGAGTTTAACTGATAGCACCAGCAGTTTGAGAAAAGGTGAAATACAGACACACAAAGCAGTTTGAGAAAAGGTGAAATACAGACACACATAGTTGTTTTAATAAGAAGAAAGTTTAGTTATTTTAATGTGGTCTTGTATGAATAGGTGTTTAGTTATATTCTTGCTCTTTGGGAATCAGTAACTCCATTTCCATAGCTGAATTTCTTAGTCTTCAAATGAAACTTAGTTTCTCTTTCCTACTAAAAGTTTCTAGAGGCAGCTATCAGTCATTTGTTTTGAAGCAGTTAGAAATGAAGTAAAACAGAAACCTAGAGATTGTCATCAATATTTTAAGATGTAAAGTTGTGGTTGTTGGGGAGTTGAAGTATTAAATCTTTATTTTTTAAAAAATGCTGTGTATATATTCCCATTTTTGTTGGTCCAACCTAGAAACAGGCATAAGTTGTGTTATTCAAAATGGACCACATATTACTTTTTTTGCAATTAGTAGGCACTTTTCTTGGGCTTCCTCAGTGGCTCAGCAGTAAAGAATCCGCCTGCAATGCAGGCTTGATCCCTGCATTAGGGAGAACCCTAGAGGGAGGGCACAGCCACCTACTCTATTCTTGCCTGGAGAATCCCATGGAGAGGAGCATACTCGGCTACAGTCCACAGGATCACAAACAGACACGACTGAATCGACTGAGCACACACATGCAGCCTCTTTTCTAGAGCACACTTCTCTAGCAGAGGAGAACAAAGAACATCTTTTAGAAGGAGGCTGAACATCTTTTAGAAGGAGGCTGTCATTCTTTTTGTTAGCCACAATATATATATTAAACCAGCTTTGACATACAGGAGGTATTTAGGATTGCGTTTATGGCTA